GGCGTTGCAGCGGAAGAGCGCCCCTTTTGGGGCTGGCGCGCCCGCAGGCAGCTCAACCTCGTCAGGATCCAGGGCGCGCGGAATTCTAAGGGTTTAGGGTTTAGGGTTTAGGGTTCGGGGTGTAGGGTTCAGGGTTTAGGGTTCAGGGTTTAGGGTTCAAGGTTTAGGGTTCAGGGTTTAGGGTTCAGGGTTTAGGGTCTAGGGTCTAGGGTAGTTACAAGTGGGGTTATAAGTCTCCTTCTATCGGTTCTCCTAAGGGTTCGTTAGGGTTTAGGGTTTAGGGTAGTTCCTAGTAGGACTATAAGTATAGTTGCCCTGCTTATAACCTACTTATAGCCACCCATGAACCTCCAAGAAGGCCCGAACGCTTCGAGGGGTCTTTGGAGGTTCCAAAGGGGCTCCTACGAGTTTAGGGGTTTAGGGTATTTAGGGTTTAGGGCTCCTACTTGGAGGGTCGGGGGACTTAGTAAGTAGAGAAAAGCAACACTCACCAAAACTATAAGCAGGGCCCTATCATTTTTTGATCGGTGTTCTTTGAGGCTTCCATAGATCGTTTTTCTGTCCACCGAAGATGTTTCAACCACAATTTGTGCATTGGATTTGTGCAGGTTATGTCGTGTGCCTGAATCGGCAGGAAAGGTGGCATGCTGTTGCACTGGATACTGCAGCATTTGAAACCATCAAAAACAGGCCTCTGCGCAAATCAAAGGGGATACCTAACATGATTCCAGCAACTCGTAAGGCTTTGTTCCCTAAACCCTAAACCCTAAACCCTAATCCCTAAACCTCAGGTTTTTCCATCGGGTTACTTGTGAGTCTCTCGAGCCGGAGCTGCTGCTTGAAGCTTCATGAGTCCTTATACACCTGTCGTACTTTCAGACCAAACCCTAAATCCTATACCGTAACCCGAAGGGTCCAAAGCACCCAATAATCACGTACTTAGGCTTCGGACAGTAGTTATGTAGTTTATACATTATACAATTTAGAGTATATGATGATTAGGTCCTTGGACCCTTGGGGTAAACGGATAGAAACCGACTCACAGAGTTGGACCCCCGGGACTCAGCCAGCCTCCCAGGTTTAGGGTTTAGGGAAGCCTTGCGGAAGAAATGTCTCGGGGCAGACTCGAGATTGCAAAATGCCTCGGGGATTAGGGTTTAGGGTTTAAGGCAT